GGGAAAGAGGAGCTTTATGGATGTGGTGAGGGAGGACATGCAGGTGGTCGGTGTGACACAGGAAGATGCAGAGGACAGATGGATGATCATCAACTGTGGCGACCCCTAAGAGGAGCAGCCGAAAGAAGAAGAGCCGTTTCTTTAGCAGGTGTTCATCACATTAGGAGGATGAATGTTGTCGTCAGCAAACCTAATGCTCGCTTGGAGCAAGTGCTGCCCTTTAGTTTGAATGAGGCCTGCTAACATTGCTAACATGTTTATCAGTTAATTGCTTTACATGCACACCAATGTTGAACTCTGTCCATAAAGAAGAAGAGGGACAATGGTTTTAAATGTCACAGAATCAATTTGACTTAGAAAATTAGATGTATTTTTAATAATGTTATTTCCAAAGAGTAAAACCTGCAAGGCTAAAATAAAAAACATTCAGTCTGAGTCAATAGAAAGAGTTGAGCATAGAGTTTAAACACTTATAAATAATAGGAAAAGTGTATGGCTGGGACTTACCAGCGCCGATAACCTCCTCAATCTTGACAAAGGAAACATCGATTTCCTTGGCAAATTCTCGCACTGCCTCATTAGGGTCCTCATAGGTGAAGGGGTCGATATAAACCTTGACCCCTGCAAGATAAACAGAGCCGTGGGAAAGGGAAAAAAAGAAATGTTATAGAACTATGAGCAGCAATGACTTCCTTGATGTGAATAATTTAAGTCCTGGCTGAGGTTTAATGTGCGCGTCTGTTACCTTGGCCAACGAGGTACTGGCTGGTTTTGTCACTCAGTTCTGGATCCTTTATTTGGCTATGTCTGCTGCAGGGAGAAACAGTGTGGGATAAATCAAGTATGATTAATATGGCTTTGTAGTTATCTGAGGAATGAGCGCTTTAGTTCATTTTTTAGCAAGCGCTCCTAATGCTTTATCAGCGTGATGAAAATCAATGATCTTGCCATGTGACCAGCTGTTCTGACCCAATGACAATAACACAATGCATGACTAAAATACAAACTTTAAAAAAGCAAAAGTCACACTCTATTTTTATTTAAAATGAAAAATTCTAACATGCAAGCACACAAAAATTTACTGATGAAATATATTGGCAACTTTGTGATCCCTTTGGGAACACTCCGCTAGGTAGCTACAGCCCTGTACCCTCTAGATGACAGAGCTGCAATGTCTTGAAGGACAAAAAAGACCCACAGCCATCATTTTATACTTTTTTTTTTTGGCACAGAAATGCTGCTTTGTTGTAGAAAGGCATGATGGCTTGTGGTAATTGTGAATACCTGAGCCAAACACTATGGTTCTGCTTTGGACACATGCAGCTCCATTATAATTCTGCTGCTGGCGCAGACTCATCCCTGCAAGACTGTAACAACCCTGTAGCCACTGGATCCCTGCCTTCCTCCATTTCTCTCCCTCTCCCACCTCATAAGCCTAAAATAGCAATAATGCACCACCCTAGGTTAGTGGCAGATCTAGGCCTCAGCCGCTGGTTTGTGTGTGTGTGTGTGTGTGTGTGTCTGTGTGTGTGTGTGTGTGTGTATGTGTCACAATGTCACAGCTATTGTTCTCCTGTCTCCTCCTCCTCCTGTGGAAACAGGGTTGGGACGCCTGCATCCTGTCTCTCCCTGCCCTCTACCTCTATCGTCATCTCTCTCTCTCACACACATACACACAAACACACACTCTCTCTCTCTCTTGTTCTCCCTCTGATGGCATCCAACACTATTTACTCAAACAATGAAGCCTAAGGAAAACGTTCTAATGAGCAGGATAACTTTTAGCTGTGCAAGCAAAAGACATCATGAGCATTGCTTAGTGTCTGAACTGCCTCACACAGAGATAAATGTGTGGGTAACAGAGTGCAAATCTACTGTTGATAAGCTTGTGTAAACAGAAGAACAAAGTGGTGCAAAACTGTAAATCTGGGGTCACGTTTGTTATTGGTTTTTGATTTCCTCTTTTTTTCATTTCTCTTGTTATTGTGTCTGGTTCTTTCCCCTCCAAAATCATTCTTTTTGTCTGGCTTTTTCCCTTTCCCCTGTTCTCACCGTATGCAGTAGGCAGCCAAAAAGACAAAAGTGACAAGCAGCAGCATCCCAACAGCGATAAGGATGCCGGGTACCAGGAACTGGGAGGCAGAGTCATGTCCTGAGAAAGGAGACAGAGCAGAAAGAAGAGGAGACAGACACAAAGACAGAGAGTTAGAGGAATGTGATGACAGGAGCTTTACATTGTAGTAAAGAAAAGCATGAGAGGAAGACAGAATGTGACAGGAATTTATAACATTTAGGAAGCTCAATACAAGAACACTCCCTCAGTACAAGGGTGCAGGCAGAAGAATTCAATAAATGAAATTAAAAAAAAATGTGTAACAGACAAACGGAGACACTTACTATGGTTTTGTGGCTCATTTTCTGGTGCTACACATTGAAAATTGTGTGTTTATATTTACTAAGGCGTCCCAACAGGGTTTTGCAGTAGAGAAACAATAAATGTGGCACCTTAGGAATTTGCAGGTTGAGCCTCATGCAGTATGTATTTTAAGGCGTTCCCGTTCAGGGACACGAAAATCAGGAAAGAGAGAATGGAAATTCAGACAAATACCCTGTGACTGGCAGGAGACTATGTGATTGAAGCTCAGAAATGCGTTTGATTTTTTCAACCATATTAAAGTTTGGTCGCTGTAAACTTGCACTTTACACTTCCTCTCGGCCCACATGCGCGCTACATCCTTCAGGCAGCAAATCCGAAGCGGAGGTGTATTCAAATTAACACAGCTGCGGCTGTGCTCACTTACATAATCAGTGTTGGTAAATATGCAGCTAAATTAAAAAACAAAAAAAAAAAAAACTGTGGTGCCGCAATATTTTCTGTACCTGACAGTCATTTCCAACAGGTTTAGTAAATGTCCCCCCAAACGTGTGTGAAAGTCCTTCGAGGGTAAACTGGGCTTTTTCTTACCATCAGGCAGGGTGTGGAAGGTGGCTGCTCGACTGAAGCTGCCATAACCGGCTATGGTGCGCACCCGAACCTGCACTTCATACTGAGTGGCCCTGCGGAGGTCCGTCAGCACGGCCTGGTTTCTGTTACTCTCTGTGTAGTGGCACTGATCCTCACTACGTCGCTCCTGCCATATGAAACCATATGAAGTTAGATGGACTGGACGTGAGCGTAAAACAGGAATAAGTTAGGAGATGATGGAGGTCACATGCATGGTGACTAATATGTTTACGTATACACGTTGCAACAGTGAAACAAAGTTTTGAGCTGCTGATTATACTACTGTTACACTTAATTTAGTTTTCAACATGTGTCTCTGTTGTTTTTACTCTATGAGGAAATCCACATTAACTACTGGGCCACAAACTGTTTCATTTCTTTGCACAGCACTGAGAGCTTTCCAATCCTCAACCACAACTGAAAATAAGATAATGAAATCCGAAGAGCATGTAACCTTTAAGCTGCACCGCTGAGAAATGTCGTCAGGGAGATCTTACCTTCTCACAGTAGCGTAGCTGATACTGCAGGATGGTGTAGTGTGGCTGAGCTGGGACTGACCAGTACAGAGTCAGACTGCTCTCTGTGGAGTCACTCTGGCGAATCTCAGACACCAGCGAGGGCACTGCGCAGACGGCAGAAGAATTATAAATACCTCATGAAATTCAGACTAGTTATACCGTTGTAGCTCTTCCCCTCCACCTCTTACCATCATGGCTCGTGGTGATGTTGACACTTTCACTGGCAGGATCCTTGCCGCTGACTTGCGATACCCCATTGAGCGCTTGGATAGTGAAGGTGTAGGTGGTGTGGGGCAGCAGGCCCCACACCTCCACCCTGCGACCCAGCAGGCCCTGCTGAGCGGGCCGGTAGCTCACACTATCTCCACACGAGAGGCAGGGTCCCTTGGGTGACCTGCACACCGAGCACCGGACGGCGTAGCTGAGGTCTGTTCTGCCGCCGTTGTCCAGAGGCTCGTTCCACTCCAGACTGAGCGTGGTGTCATTGATCTGGGTCCCGATGCTGCGTGGGGCTGTGGGAGGTTCTACAGTGATGCACAAGTGAAACTGATCAGTTCTTCCTTAATTTCTAGAAACAAACAGAATAACTGTCCTCTTGAGCTTCTGGAACAGCAAATGGTTCTAGTTCACCAGTTTGGGAAATGCACTTATTACCAGATGCTGATGTAGCTTTATTTAACGTATGCTATTATAACAACATTACATATGTTTTTTCTTATGATTAAACAGCTTCAGAAAGCACCAGTAGTCGCCCCCCAGACACTGTCACATTACTGTCAAAAACATTATACTGCATTTTGTTGCTTAGGAAAGTGTCTCCATCAAATAAAATTATAATCTCTTCTGAGTCATTTTACTGCTACTTTAACGTTCCGTGACCCACACAAGCCGTTTGTTGATGTTTTTCCATATGCGCCGAATACATTCTGTTCAGCCTCCTGCAGTGGCTCTGCGTCACAGCAGAAGCATATGTATTGAAGATTTTAACTGGTGCAATTACGTTTGTCTAAAACTGGATGATAATTATCACCGTCTGAAAATTGTAAGAAGATAGCTATTGCCTCCAGCCAAGCATAACTAAACAGCAATACCACTCAGCCACTGCGAATGACTTTCTGTTCCTGCCAAGGAGACAGAGCTTTGTCAGTGAGCCTGCAGCTAACATAAGTGTTAATAGTCCTCTCATTGGAAACTCAAGTGGGGCAACATCTCAGGCAATCTGGGTGCGTATGAATTTCAAACTCACCATTTGGGAGTGGGGATTGTTAGAGGTGATAAATTTTATGATTTAACAATCTGAATCTGCTTTATTTAGATCACCAGGACTTGTCACAGTCATGTAAAACAGAAAAGCTGCGTCATTTCAAGATGGTTGGCAATTCTGCACACAGACTGAAAATGTAATCCAAAACAAAAATAGAATAGGTAACAGGAAGAATCTAATTAAGTGATGAATAATTAAGATAAACTTTTATAGCTATCAGTAATAATAAAAATCAATGGATGTTCCTTCCTGTTGGTAACACACCTGCAAAGAAGTGAAACTGTCAACAGCCACATATTAGGTTTTACATCGTTTCACATCCTCTTGAAGGTCATTCACGCATCCAGGTCCCATTCACACGTCTGACATGCGACAGAATTAAAATTCCTGAATCTGCATGGAGGTGTCACTTGAGACCATCAATGCCTACTTCAGTTTGGAGAGAAAGCCCAACCCCCAACAACCTGTCACAAAAGACATGCATCTCAATACCCAGCAGTGGGACAAAGGACACAAAGCAGATTAGAGGAGCCTGGCTAAATGACACAGGAGGAAAAGAGAAAAAGCCTCAGAGACGGTAAAAACAAAGTGAAGAAGAGCAGGGGAAAGTGAAGGGTGAGAACAAGCGAGGGGATGCTTGTGATACTTAGCACCTCCACATTTGCATGTGGATTCGTGCATAGGTATCTTGTCTGCATACTTACTGGTGCACGGGGTGTCAGGAGTGTCAGATTCTGCACGTAGGTATCCAGAGTTACATTTGCACTCCGACGCCCCCCTGATGGTAGTCAGGCTGAATCTTGGACAGCCTGTGCATTGTCCCTCTGTGCTCGACTTGAACTGACCCACAGGACAGGCTGAGGAGGACGAGGCAGGAGAACAAATTATCAGAAGCAAATTACCACAAGTTCTGATTCTGGACATGACCTGTGAACACGACAGAACACTGCACAATATCTTCACACCGACTGTGTCCTAGAGAGACCCGGGTCAAACTCAATTTACGATTGCAATTATGTTTTTTTTTTCTCAGGGTACTAAAGTGCCAGATGGCTGCAGATTGACAGACAGAACCATGTAATAGGGGCTGTAAACTGAAGACAATCACTCTAATGAATCTGTTAGTAACTGTCAATTTAGTGAATAAACCTGTCTGTCATTGGTATCACTGAATTTATGTGACCATGTCCGAATAACAAGACCAAACATGTGGAGGTCCATGCAGAGGAGTGCTTTTGTTTATGATCCTAACATTGCTCCAAGTCTCCTCACTAAAATAAAAACAGCACTGTATTTGGCACGTTTCTACACAGGGTGTAGAAAAACTGAACTAGTGACAAAATGTTTAGTCGAGTAATCAATTAATTGACAAGCAGAAACTCAGTTTGCAAATCCATTAATGCAAACATGCCAAACACTCAGTGTTCAGCGGCTGAACTGTCGCTCCAGCTGCTGACTGACAGGAATAAAACAATTAGCTTTCACACCACGTGGAGCTTTGTTATAGTCTAAACTGATTTGTTTTTGCAGGGTCAACACACTCAGGGAGGTTGGTTTTGAACTGGCAGGAATGTCCCATGTGTGAAAAAACTGAAACACTGTACAGTTGTTGGTTCAAATAAATCAAATGACAAATTACTAAAGCCCCTTTCTGACATACTGTACGCTTCGTTTTCTGAGGGCACCTGAACGTGTCGGCTTTAGGTCTGGATAAGCGCCCTGGTCACTTTTCCATAAACGTTGCGATGGCAATCGTACTAAGTCTAGTAACATTTACATATCACTTTCAACATGGTCTGAACTACATGCAGCTGCATTAACAGATAAGCACATGATTATAATGACCTTGCATGTATGACAAATATACTGCGTGTGTACTGTAGCTCTCTCTGTTACAGTTGTCGGGGTGTCACTTAATGTAAAAGTGACTTGCTGTATATCTGAATGACAGAGAGCTGTTGCTCTGACAGAGTGATGAAGCCAGCAATGTTACACATCCCATGTCTTGTTCTTGGTTGTTTCAGCTTCTAACATTTTGTCCTAACTTTAAATACATCTGGGAATATTCATGGTGTCATCATGGTTTAAACATTCTAATCAAGTTTATCTAAAACACTAAATCACCTTGACAGCATTCATAAGTTTTACATTAGAGGATTGTGTTTGACCCGCAAAGTATATGTATTGTCTGCATGAGATAATGGCGTTACAGCAGAATTAACTGAATTTTAAACCTAGATGCCGATTTCATTTCTTAAATGACAGGCCTACGGAGGAAATTAACTGTTCAATCTTGCTATAATGGCAAATTCCCTTTATGGTCTGGTGAGTGTGTTTTCCCTTACAGCTGTCTTCAGATACAAAATGCCAGCCCCACTTCAGTAGAAGCAAAATGTCAGAAATGATTTTTTTGTTATGAAAAACCATTTCACCTCCTGCAGAGATCAGGCTGAACGTTACCTTCAAACAGGCAGATACAACAGCACCACTTTCTTCAGAAACTGTAGCATTTCTTCTTGTGTTTCTTTGTTTTTTCGGCTTCGTGTGTGTGTGTGTGTGTGTGTGTGTGTGTGTCTGTGTGAAAGTGTGCGGGTGGGGGCTGTTCATGCATGAGGCTTGTTAATTGGACTCATTAGACAGAGCTGCTGCATAGCTCCTGAGAGAATCATCCTGCCTCTTCCTTCTTTTCTTGTCTACTTTGCTTTGATGTTCTCAAAAATGATATGATCTTTACCCTGAGCACCCCCACACACACACACACACACACACACACACACACACACACACACACACACACCTCTCTCTCCCCTCACCTTTCTCGCTCGCCTGTTCGTCTTCTATCTTAGCGGAACCACGAGTTGTAGCAGCAGTAAGCCTTTGACCCTGCTCTTCCTTCCTGAGATAAGTGCTGCTCTACCTGACCTCTATGCTCCCTCGGTGTCACAGCCATTCTCCTGCTTCATTAACTTCCTCAGTCTCTCATTTCCTGTCCAACGCTTCGACCCACCCTCATCTTGCCATTGTTTTCTTGCTCAGCCTGGCTGATCTGCCGAGTGTGTGGGTATACATGCTTCTATATGCAGCCTAGCCTTGCCTTCTTACCTATGCATCGCGTGTGTCCCTCAGCAGACTCAAATCCTGGTAGGCAGGCGCAGGAGGTTGTTGGCTGACCCACCCACTGGCCGTCTTCCCCGCAGAAGAGTTTAGGTGGCCGAGGCCGGGGCCCCTGCTGGGCAGCATGTTCCACACAAACACCCTGCGCCTCTTGCACTAGAGTTCGGGGAACAGTCTCTGGGAAAGCGGAAAGAGCACTGACCAGGGGAGGACACTTTTTAAAGAACACTCTGACGGACAGCAGCGCCATGCAGGCGCCCTGAGCCTGAAAGGCCAAGTAGAATCCTCTTTTAGATAGAGGGCCAAGTCTTAAGGTCTTCACGTTAGATTTCTTCTCCCCACCAATCCTCAGTAGAAAGTCTGCAGCCACCGTGTCCACCTAGGACAGGAAGAAAGAGAAATAGATCTTATGTAATGGAAGGATTCTAGCACACAGTAAAAAGGATCGGACTGGTGGGTGTGCACGTTTTAGTCATTCCAACGTGTTAACTAGACACTGCATATGCTTTACATTATTGAACGTTTTCCAAAGCATGCCTCTGTGATTTTACACTGATTTACAACCTTCCTGGCAGCGATTGTTTCCCATTTGTTACAGTCCGCTTTGAACCTCAACTTGCAGGGACTTGAAACTCGCTTGAGAGAAAAGGTAATTCATCACAGCAAACATTTCATCACTTTTATTTTTCTGTCAGAGTTACATGATTAAGTGGTAATGAGGACTAGGGTGTATTCTCAAACCTATTTTGGCAGCGTGTTCAAGGGTGCTACCACATCAGAGGTTTGCCAGCGACGTGCATTCAAAAGCTACGTATGTGTGTGGAAAATGAAAAGCGAAAAACAAATGATAAGCAAAGAGGAAGGCTGTTAAACAAACTGAACGCATCACCTAGGAGTTTTCAAAACAGTCCTGATGATGTAACTTGGATTTAAAAGTGACAAAATGTCAACTGTAATAAATTAGATGACTACAGTAACTTTTCAATGTATCCAAGCTGATTTTGATACTGTAATGAAACAGATGGAAGCATATTGGACGGTAAGGAGTCTGTCTAAAAACTCGTCTTGGAAATTGACAGTATATACAGTACGATGCAGCAGACCCCAGATATAACCGGACTACTTAGTTCCCAGTGCAGGTAAAACTTCGAAAACACTGGGTTTTACACTTTTCATATATTTGATGGTCACTAGTTGCTTGTTAAACTCCACAGCCTCAGTCTGTAACACAGGCTTTCTGTTAAAAAAGTTCAACATACAACCTTACTTCAAGATAACCTGGATGAAAGCATCAGGATTCATTTGGACTGAGATCATTATTTGATCGATTAGGCAGCCAAAAGAAAATGAAACTGCAGCTGTTTCCAATCGATGTGATTTTGATAAATCACTTCTTAGCAAAAATGCCAAACATTTTTTCAGCTTCACAAATGTGTGAATTTGTACTATTTGTCATATATAACAGTCAAGTGAATACCTTTATATTGTGAGCTGTTGGTCAGACATCACTGTGGGCTCTACAAAATTATCAGGGGTCATTTTTCCAGCATTTTTTTTTTACTTCACAGAATGAATCAGTCAATCATGTTTTCAGATGTGCTCCATTCCAATTGCTCCAGAGCCAAGTAAGACATTGTACAGTGGTTCTCACAGACTGTGTAGTAGTAGCCATGACAATACACTAAAGCCCCTTTTACACAGTGCTGACCCTCCGTTTATTAATATATCAAACAAAACCAGGTAACAGCCCGTTTGTTTTGTTTTCAAACTGGATGAGAGGTACGTCGGACGTCATGATAAGCATCAAAAGTATAGTACTGGGATTCTGGCAGCTGTGTAAGAGGAACACAGGAGTGGCAGTGTGCCAGCTTTTTTAAGGTCAGTGCCTAGATAAAAAAAAAATCTCTTGAAGAAGGGTCAAAACACTGGCAGTTTGCCACAGTCTCTGTGTAAAAAAGGGCTTAAGCTTCGTGTTTAAAATGGGTGGAGTACCTGTTTTTATGCAGAATATTATGCATTATATATTAAGAGTAGTGATTTTTAAAATCCTTCCTCAAACAACTAAGGAGAGAATGAGAGATAAGTCCTTTAAATATAATGATAGGATGTCCCATAACAATGACTGTTTATAATATCAGAGGGTGGGTGTGGACAGACCTTGGTGTATGGGTTCTCCATCCAGGGTGGGTAAGTGGCTGTGGCCTCGTTGGAGTCCGCCTGGTAGTAGTAGAGGTTAAAGGTCTCCTTACAGCTGCGGTGATGGGTGCTCCTGGAGGAACACTCCATCATGGTGAAGCGCAGCTCCACGTAGACCTGAGACGCTCCTCTTCGCTGGATGAAGCCGCTGCGTAGCCAGTGGCTGGATGAGCTGTCGGTCTGACAGATCTCATAGGTCCTCACGCTGTTGTTCTCCTCATCTAAACCACTGAGTTCCTCCCACTGAGAGCAAACAGGAGAACAAAGGCTCGTCAGGTGCCAGGTTAAAATGACATCCATCCCAGAAGCTCTGTCAGCCCTGGCTCTATGTGATTCTCCTGTAAAGACTTTCACTAGGGTCTTTATATAATTGGCCACATGAAAAGTCCTATTCATCATAACAATGTTACAGTTCTTTGCTGCCTGACGTGCCTAGCTCGCGGCTATCAAATGCAAACACTTTTTGGCACTATTTACAAGTAGAAAAGTCGCTGATAATGTTGTTCTCACTGGCTGTAACCACAAAGAATTTCTCCCATACGTCTGACTTGGCCTTCGATAATGTATTGTCCAAAATATTATATTCACGACTAGCTATTTTCTCTTTTAGGTTATCCACTTTGACATACTGACGCCTAGCCTAGGTTGATGTCTGAGTGACGTCCTGTTAGCTAGATGTGAGTTGAGGGGTCAAAGGTTGTACCACAGGCCTTCACAATAAATGCATTGATCATTTAATTATGCTGGATTAGTTGTTTAAAAGACGCTGTACATTCACTCCCGCCCACATTAGTCTATTTTTTTTTTTTTACCCATACCCATGAATTAGCCTATTTAAAACATATTTTTACCCATTACAGATCATTTTTTGTGGGTACCCGTTACCCGACCTGGTGGCTCTGGCCTCTGGGACAGATCTGACCTGCTGTGGCTTTTGATTCGA